TTCCATTATGTTTGATAGTGTATTTATGCCATGGATCAAAGCCCTTAAGTTTCTCCGTATTAATGACCTTTATAGTTCTAGGTTTTACATTTAGGTCTTTAATTCATGTTGAGTTTGTTTTTGTATATGGTGTGAGATATGAGTCATGTTTTATTCTTCTGAAAATTGGTTTCCAGTTTTGCCCCAACCTTTTGTTGAGGAGACTATCTCTTCCCCATTTAATGTGTTTTGGCCCTTTGTTAAAGATCAGCTGACTGTGTGTAGGTGGATAGATTTGACTACTGTGTCCTTTGTAATAGGTTTTGAGATTGGGAACTGCGAGGCCTCCAACTTTGTTGGTCTGTTTTAGTAAAGCTTTGTTTATCTGAGGTCTCTTTCCTTTCCATGTACATTTAGCAATTAAGTTCTCCATCTCTTGAAAGAATAATGTTGGAATCTGGATTGGAATCGCACTATTATCTATTGATTGCTTTGGGTAGTGTTGACATTTTCAGTGTTATGTCTTCCTATCCACGAGCATGATATATTCTTCCTTTTTTTTTTTTTTTTTTTTTTTTATACGTCTTGTTTGCTTTCTTGCAGTAGTGTTTTATAGTTTCTTTGTATAGTTCTTTTGTTTCTCTGGTTGAATTTATTCCTAAGTATTTATCTTTTGAGTGACTATTGTAATTATATCATTCTCTTGATTTCATTTTCAGAGCTCCCTTTATTAGTGTAAAGGAATCCAACTCATTTTTGTATGGGTTTGAACTACCCATCCTTGCGGTTCAAATGATTTTGCAGTCTAGTGCTCCCGATGGAATAGCCTCAAAATTCATAAATAAAACTCTAATATGGTTACGAGTCATGCTGCTAACCTAAAGGTCAATAGTTCGAAACTACTAGCTGTTCTTTGGGAGAAATCTGAGGCTTTCTGACCCCGTAAAGATTACAGTCTCAGAAACTCTATATGGGGTTGCTATGAGTTGGAAGTGACTCCACAACACAGCATAACCACCATATAGTATAACCAAAGAAGGAAATAGACAACTCCAATAATAGTTGTTGCTGCTTCTTGGAAACCCTATACAGGGTCTCGAGGAAGGAGTCGGAACCAACTCAAAGGCACTTAACAACAACAAAAACAACTTATTCAGTTCATCTTTAATCATGATATCATGCCGTTCTTTGTTTCTTCTGCTGGGTTTTCAGTATTGGAATTTCTGAAGGTGTTTCTGTTTGCACTACTTTCTGCAATAAACTCTTAGGTAGGCAGAGTCTTTTGCCTTTACTTACCATTTCCTCTCCCTCTCTGTAATGGACCTTTCCCCCTCCCTGGTTTAATCGTGATTTGAAAGCTCCAGATTTTATTTTTCAACTTTAAATCTCTTTCAAACACACCATAGAGGGCAATGTGGACAATTTGTGTACCGGGGGACAGCGACAGGTAAGATAGCATGTACTAATCAATCTGTCCACCAGGGATGCAGTCTTCTCTCTCTGTCTCTGATGTTCTCTAATTTGTTATGGTTCCCTTTCCTTTTGTTTTTGCAATCAATTTTTACCTGGAATACGTACACCCACTGAGCCCGTTTTGGGGATGGGTTTGCCCTCCGGTTTTGCCCAAGGTTTCCTTCTCTGCTCTGTAGAGATTATTTATCTCTGAGCTGGCATTATTTATCTCTGAGCTGACTTTCCTTCCTTTCAGAAGGAAGAAGGGGCTGGCACACCCCAGAAGGATCTCTGAGAGCTCTGTCTTGTTGGTTTCAGAGCCTCAGCAACCCTGTGGTGGTGTGGTGGTTGGGAGAGCAGTGTCCGCATAGGTGACCCCCTTCCTGATTCCACTTCCTATTGGAGTTTGTATCAGTAGGGCAGCTAACACAGAGGTAGTCAGAGCCCAAATGTATAAAGGGAGGTCTGCCTTACTATTAGATCCAGCACTGTAGTGTGTTGGCTGTGGTGTAGCCTCTACTCAAGATGCCTGCTTCTTAGCACACAGTAGCTTCAGTCAGCAGTCTTCAGTGTGACTGTAAGGGGGAACAGGCAGACCCCAAATGATCCTTAGGGAGGTCTATACTGTTGGTTTCAGAGACCTGAGCTATAGGGTACACAGGGAGGCAGGTAAGTGTGCTGACTATATGAGCTGACTCCACTGTGGGGGGCCTTCTGTAGCAGTTTGTGACAGTGGGGGAAGAGAGTGTCACACTGGTCAGATCCCTATGGAGGTCTGCTTGTTGCTATCAGAGCCCCCCTAGTAGATTGTTGGCTGTGAGTGCAGCGTCCATCATTGATTCCTAACAAACAGCTGCCTCAGTCAGCAATCCTCAACACCAGCTGCAAGTGGGTACAGTCTAACCCAACTGTAGACTGCAGGTTCTACTGTAGGGCCCTTCTGTAGCAATTCACAGCAGGCTTACAGGTGTCCACGTGGACCTGAAAATGGACCTGGGTAACATACAAAGGGGTAAAGCGAAGGGGAGCAAGATACCCCATATTGCAGGTCCCTGGACTCTTCCGTTTCAAATCAGAATAGGGACTCTGCTAGCCACTGAATGCTATAGGAAAGGCAGCTAAAAAAAAAAAAGTCCTAATTTGATATTCGAAAAAGAATTTTTAAGCCCATCATTTTTTAATTCCACAAATCTACTCTACAAATCCCAAAAATCAGAGTTTGCAGAAGGAAGCTTCTAAAGTTTTTCCTTATCAAAAGTGGCATAGATTTGGGAGGGGTGGGGTGGGGAAGTGGGGAAGTGGTGTAGGAATTTGTGCAGAGGACCACAAAGGCCTAAGAGATGGGAGGGCAGTTGAGTCTTTGACAAGTGCCTCCTAGGGTAGATGGTGCCACATTGTGGATTATAACTAGTATGTTAGGTGTTTTTCATCTTCCACTTTTTTTTTTTTGTTTGTTTGGTAAATTTTATCAGTGTTTCCTCATTTATTTGTGGTTTGCCTCTGTATCCCGGAACCTGGGTCACAGATAGTCATAGCATTCTTAAAGTGCAAGTAGCTTTCAATATCTACATTTTCATGGTCATCATCTTCCAACTTTTCTCAACCCATGGTCTTGCCAGGAATTTTTCTCATGTGGATCAGTTCTTCTCATGGATTGAATTGTGTCCCCCCAAAATATGATTCTTAGGGGTTTGGCAGTTATGTGATGATCTAAAGTAGCAGTTATATGATTTGATGTGATAAACCAATAAAAGGATTAAGGTGGGCTGCAATGCCCTTAACCCTATCACAACCCTGATTTATGTAAGGGAGTTTCCCAAGTATATGGCCTTGGTGTTAAATCTTACAAAAGACAAAAGGAGAGAGATGTGAACCAACAGAGGGACCTACTACTACCAAGGAGTCCTGCTGTGGCACTGTAGGATAATGCTCAGTTTGAATCCCAAGGTCGGAGGTTCAAGCCCACCAGTCACTCCTGGAAACCCTATATAGGGTCGGTACAGGTCAAAACCAACATGACAGCACTTAACAACAACTAAGAAAGTGTGTCTTTGGGATCTGGGGTTCCTGCACTGTGAAACTCCCAGATCCAAGAGAAGATTGATGCCAAGACATCTGGAGATCTCAAAGGAATGCTGGGTCTAGTGCTGAGAGGAATCAAGGTAGTGCTCTGAATTGGAAATTCTAGTCTCTTAAACTGTGAGACGATGTTAAAGCCTGTCGATTGTGGTATTTCTGGTATAGCTGCACTAAGGTAGTTCTCATGGACAAAGTTAATTTATTGAGAAAAGCTTGAGATACTGTGGAGAAAAAAACACCTAAACTTAACTACAATAGAATGTTGTGGCTGTTATAATGACAGTATTAATGAATGGCACATAGGGGAAGGAGTTGTCCTAAAAGGGACCCTGAGAAGTCCTGCAATGACAGAACCCTAACCTTGAAGCCAGTCATTTAGCTAGCAGAGAGCTAAGTTTAAAAGTCATCCTTTTATTTGAGAGCCAAATGTCTCCAGATCCGTCTAGCAGTTTCTAGGGCTGCTGCTTTAAACTGCAAGGACTAATTGTACTGCTTTCTTTTATGACAGTTCTGTGTTAAAATGCAGTGGGGTTTTGTTTTGTTTCCATTTAAAAATCTGTATAGCTCATAGAAAATTTCAAAAAATACTGAAAATGGTGGGAAAATGTCCATTTTTTAATTTAAAAAAAATGTTAATTGTGGTGAGATACATATACACCAAATATTCTACTCCTTTTATTAGAATCTTTGGTGTCTATGTGGTTCTCCGTCTGACTGCACATTAGAATTACCCGAAGAGGTGTGTGTGTGTGTGTGTGTGTGTGTGTGTGTAAGATTGGGCAAGACATATTTAAAAGTTCTCCAAGTAAGTCTAAAGTGCAGCCAGGGTTGATAATTATTAACAATTTGGTAATGTCTTTCCAAATATCTTTTAATGAAAAGGACCTCACTGTGCACAGGGTTGCTGTGCACAGTGTCTTGATGGTACTTAACAAGAATAAAACATGTATTTTTAAGGACTTCATGGTATTGCATTTGACGGAGTAAATCTTGAGTGTTTAATTCCCTATTGAAGAATATTGCAGAGTTGTTTTTTCTTTTTTTTAATAAAGAGGTAAAAACAATCTCTATGCATACGTCAACGACAGTGTAGTCCTTTTCCTTTTTTTTTTTTTTTAGGACAGGTACCTTGAAAAGAAAAAGTATGAATTGCATACTCTTCAAGTTTTTTCCAAAAAATGAGAATAATGTCTCCAGCTTTGGTTCGTGTAACACTTGGGCTTTTGCAGAGTGCTGGAGTGGCTTTGTAGGTTAAGTACTCGACTGCTAGTCGCAATATCGGCGGTTCACCTTTACCTGGAGGGAGCATCTTTCTCCAGCAAAGGATCTTGCAGCGCGCGAACGGGGGGTTTTGTGGTTAAGGGATCGGGTGTGTATACTACAGAAAGTAACACAGAGAGTTTAGGGGCTCACTTAAATTCAAAGGGAGAAAGGCGGTAGGAACTTAAATTCTGGCTAGTTTTCAGGTTTGAGATTTTGACAGCTGGGACATGGCCTCGGTGCCTGGAAAGCAGCTAGGACCTTTTCCTTTAAGAGTTCTACGCCGGCGCCGCCAGACTCGCTTTCCAGAAGGAACTCACCACGTCTACGTACCCTCTAAGCTCCGCCCTTCTTCCGCTCGTTACCATTGGCTGATAGCTGCGTATATAAAAACGTCATTTCCGCTCGTCTGTCCTTTCCGCGCTACCTGGAGAAGGGTCCATACGGCGTTGTTCTGGGTAAGGCCCTTGTGGGGTCCGCGGCGTCCTCCAAGGCCTCCAGGAAACTCTTTCTGCCCAAATGAGGGGTGCTAAGAGTAGGAGGGAAGATAGGTCGATAGAGCAGGGCTCGCTTTGTGCGCTCGGCCGCAGACGCGGCGTTTCGCACGTGGCCGAGGTCCGGCGCGCGGCTTCCCACAATGCCTTAGGCGGGGCCCAGGTCGCGCTTGTGTTGAAGTTCAGGGCTGGGGTTCGGTGCGCGAGTGCGCAGAAAGCCGACCAAGCTAAGATCACATCGGAGCGTGACACTTGGCTGCGGATACACAGCAGCTATTCTGTGGGTCTGTTTATCCCGTGTCCGAGTTGTTAGGTTGTTGGGAAGCTTTTGTGGAAAACTGAAGTGAAGTGACTCCCCAACATTTTGCTTTAAAATGTGAAGTGTCCACAGCTCCGCTCTTTGTATCTACTGTTGCATATTCTCAAGCGTGGCTGCTCTTTTCAAGTACGATTGATACTTTTGTTCATCCACGACTTTTACTACCGCCCTGTGCACTTTGAGGTTTAATTTTCAGTTAACTACATCTACTTGCAAAACTGGGTTTTATGCCAGCCTTCATACCACTCTTGCTCAGCAGGATTGGCCTTGCTACTGTGATAGGTAGTGGTTGTTGGTGAATTAGGTCTCTTCACTAAATTGTTTAGGGACTAGTTCACTGGCTGGCATTGTACCTGTTAGTCGTTGATACGAAGTTAATCTCATTCTCAGTAGACTGCACCCCAGTTCACTTAACTAGCTGGAATGAAAAGGACTGGCTTGTTGACTATTTTCCAGGTTCCCGTCGTAACTTAAAGGGGAAACTTTCACAATGTCCGGAGCCCTTGATGTCCTGCAAATGAAGGAGGAGGATGTCCTCAAATTCCTTGCAGCAGGAACCCACTTAGGTGGCACCAACCTTGACTTCCAAATGGAACA